AAGCGCTTACAGACGTACCATAGGCGGCTAGCGTAACGATAAAAGCCGAAGCGTGCCGGTTTTTGGGTACTGTATAAAATATGACGAATGAATTTATTGTCTTTGTCGAATTTACATCGATCTCAAAAATGACCCAGGAGCTCACGAAATCCGCGTATTTCCGCGGAAAATCGGCAGCCCTGTATGATATGATTCATTCAAATATAGTTCTTTATGTAAACTTAAAGAGCTCTTACATATGTTTGATATGTGAGAAAAAGAAATATCATATTTATGTATGTTCATCATTTTTTATCAATAAGTGGATATAATTCTTATTTTCTGTGTATTTTAAATATGCAGTATGCTTACTTTTGTGCCAAACTGATAGTAACGAGAACTTTACGACACCCTCTGCGCATCCGTTAATAATTGGGCATTTTAACGGTTATTTGTTAATTACGAGAGCTTCGAGATAGCAGTGAAAACCTTAATGATAGGCCTACGACAGTCGTTATGCTAAAGATAGCTTCAAGATACTGACCCCAGGTCTTCAAATAAGCTTGCTATAAATGAAGATTGAATACAATTCTTGCTAGTCATTGTCTCCAAATCATTTTTCAATTTGTAGTTATGATGACCTTGACCCCAGAGGGTCCAAATGCAAACCCATCTGGGGTCTTCATATAAGTATGCTATACACCAAGTTTGATTACAATATTTCATTCCTAGCTGGAATTATCATCCTGAAACCATTTTTCTACTATATTAGTGCGCATGCTCGAAGTAAATGGTGGTTAAAAATTTTCAATTGTAAAAAATGGAATAAAATTGAGAAATAGAAGTGATTATAAATTGTTGAATTATTATTGGATACTATTTTTGTTGACTGTAAGTTGTTTCAAATTACTATGAAATATAATGAGTGAAACTCGTTCAAATTTAGAGAAAAAAAGAGCAAGAGAATCTCCGGGTGGGGTAAGTCCCCTATACAAACAATCAAAAATGGTTGATAGTGAAGATTGCAGTGTAAATGAACGTTTTGATAAAATCATGGAAGTACTTGCTGTTTTAAAAAAGGGGCAAGAGAGTCTCCAGAAGACATTTGATAGCAAAATTGATAAATTGAGGAAGGACGTATTAGCAACAATTGATGATAAAATAAAAGCAGTGAAAGTTGATTTTGACCTACAATTTGCCTGTTGGGACAAAAGATTTGCTGACTTAGAAGCTGAGCTGAATTCACTGAAATCTATTTCTGGCTTGAAGCAAGATAAAACGGTCAATAACTGTGAGCTCACGGTAATTGCTACTAATTTATCGTTGCGCCCAGGAAAACAACCGTTAGACGACGCGAAAGATTTGATCTCTGCTCTCGGTAGTGATATATCAAGCAAAGTGAAAATTACCGATGCGAGTCGATGCTCAGACAGGAATACCGGTAAACCCCCGTTATTGAAAATTGCTTTTGACAATCTCGAGCAAAAGATCGAGGTACTCCGTTCAAAGAAGAGATTAATGTCGAAGCCGGAATATAAGCGTGTGTATGTATACGGAAGTAAAACTCACACCGAACGTATACTTGAGCTGAATGCAAAAACTTTACTGTCGGAATTACCAAATGGTAATCAATTCCGAGTAACTGGAAATGGACGCATCGTTAAGAAAACGCCTGCTTCTGCCGATGGCGTTCCCATATCAAGAGGACCCGCTACACCGGTATAAGCCAACGCCCGGCTTATCGAACATTCCATATCTGTATCCCATTTAAATGTTGCTGGTTGGACTGAATCAAATCATGAACTTCGATCACAAATCTTATTGCATATGAAATCTGACATAATTTGTGTAAATGAAACTCATTTAAAAGCCACACAAACTATTGCTCTTGAAGGCTACCGATTTTATTCACATAACAGAATGTTAACTCATGTTAATGCACCCAAAGGCTCAGGGGGTGTCGGAATTTTCGTGAAAAACTGTTTGTTTGATGATTTTCGTGTTGATGTTATTGACAAATCATATGATGGAATATTGGGACTCTCGTTCACAGCAAAATCTACAAATTATAAAATTATCGTCTACTCCGTATACTTACCACCGGAAAACTCACCATGGGGACGTAACGCAACAGACTTTTACGCTCATTTGCTCGGACAAATTTATCTTTTATCTGATTGTGAAGCTATTTTCGTTTGTGGGGATAATAATTCAAGGATCGGCGAACTTCAGGACATAATTTCGGACATTGACGGTATACCATTGAGAAAGTGTATTGACAAGAGTGTTAATCAGCATGGACAGACGTTTGTAGATTTTCTGATTGACTCAAAGATGTGTGTTTTAAATGGCCGGTTTAATGAAGATAGAAACACTTTTACGTCAGGTTCAGTTCGCGGAAAATCTGTTGTTGACTACGTTTGTGTTCCACATGACTGCTTTAATGCTTGTGATAATTTTGAAGTTATTTCCCCTGCATCGATTCTTGATAAGCATAATCTTAAGAGTCTAATCGGAGAGCGTAGTAAATTACCGGATCACTACATTTTACGATTTACATATAATTATAGTACCGCTATAACAGACGAGACTAACAATCCCGCGAATCAGCAGTCACGACCACCATTTAATACACGGATATACAAGTTAAAACGAATTCCAGATGACTTTTTGTCTTCAAATTTGATTGCCCCTATACCAAAAGATATTACTAAAGATAAACGTATACCCTTGAATTACAGAGGAATAAGTTTACTCTCGGTGGTTAGCAAATTATATTCAGCTGTGTTAAATAATAGACTAAAGAAACATTTAGAAGATCAAGAGTTACTTGTTGATGAGCAGAACGGATTTCGTTCAAAACGGTCGTGTGAGGACCATGTTTATACCTCATGTACTATTATTAGAAATAGACTTTTAAGTAAACTTGATACATTTGGAACTTTTATTGATATAAAAAAGGCATTTGACTTTGTCAATAGGGATATTCTTTTGAATAAACTTTTGTCTAATAGTATAAATGGAAAATTTTATAACTCGATTAAGGCCATTTTGACAGATACATTGTCTTGTGTTAAGTTAAACGGTATGTTAACTGACTGGTTCCCGACTCTGTCTGGCGTGAAGCAAGGAGACAGCGGATCGCCAACAATCTTTGCTTACTTCATAAACGATCTAGCTGAAGGTTTAAAGACTCTTAACAAGGGTGTACAGTTTAATAACGATATACTTTGTTGTTTGTTTTATGCTGATGACATTTTATTGTTGTCTGAGAATGAACAAGATATGCAAGACATGTTAGATTATGTTCATACTGGTTATCAATAATGAAAAGTCAAAGGTTGTGCATTTCAGAAATAAGGGTAAAAATAGAAGTAATTTTCAATTTAGAATAGGCGATTGTTTTGTATTGTTTACGGATATGTATAAATATTTGGGTGTTAATTTACATGAGCACTTAGATTTTACTCAAACTGCCGAATTGTTGTCTAAATCTGGTGGCCGAGCACTTGGTGCAATTATTTCTAAAGTACATAATTATAAAGATGTTGGCTTTAAAACATTTACTAAAATGTACTATTCATGTGTTGTTCCTGTAACAGATTACTGTTCCTCAATATGGGGTTTTAAATATTATAACAAAATAGATATGACGCAAAACAGAGCAATAAGATATTTTATGGGTGTGCATAAATTTGCACCATTATTAGCAATAAATGGTGATATGGGTTGGATTTCCACTCAACATAGACGTTGGGTTAACATTTTACGATTTTGGAATCGACTTGTAAATATGCCGGACGATAGGCTTCCAAAAAAAATGTTCTCCTATGACTACAATTGTTTCGGAAAAACATGGTGCTATGATGTAAAGACTATATTGCAACAAATTCAAATGTCACATTACTATGAAAACAAGTTACCTGTAAATCTAAAAGATGTTGAAGATGCATTGTTTGTTAAATATAAAACGGATTGGTGTAATAATGTTAGAAATGTTGCCAAACTTAGAACATATATTGAATTTAAACAACATTATAATACTGAAAAGTATTTGCTTTCGTCATTAACTAAGATTGAACGGTCTCATTTATCCCAATTCCGATGTGGTATACTTCCATTAAAGATAGAAACGGGAAGATATGTCGGTTTAAATGTAAACGAAAGATTTTGTCATTTTTGTCCAGTTAATGTTGTAGAAGATGAGACTCATTTTCTTTTAAACTGTCTTAAATATAATGACTTACGAGAGAACCTTTTATCAAAATGTAAAGATAGAAATCCTGATTTTAAACATATGTCTGAAGTAAATAAGTTAGTATATGCTGTCAATTATTATTATGTGCATGTGGCTAAATTTATAGTTGAAGCTATGAACAGAAGAAGGATGTCTCTGTACAAAAATTAATTAAAAAATGTTGTAAATGTTGTAAATGTATTTGCTCTAATGATATGTACATGAATGACAACTGTATATGTATCGTATATGTGATTTGATACCGAAAGTAATTGGAAAAAAGTAAACTTGTATACTTCCTATTTCTCTTATAATGCAGATGTTATTATGTCCAAGAACATTTAAATCACTATTTGTTTGTGCATGTATATAATTAGTTAATATCTAAATTATGTTATAAATTGTATATTTTTGAAAATGATTAAATAATTAAGTGACTTGTAGGCCCAACGTGGCCGGGTGTTGTAAAAATAAAAATGTATCGTTATTATGTATGTACATAACACAATGTCACTATAATAAAATTTACTTATCTTATCTTATCTTATCTTTAGTAACAGTGACCTCGACCTTAACCCCAGAAGGCCCAAAAGCAATACCAAGCAGGGTTTCCACATATCAAGTTTGATTACAATAACTCATTCCAAAATCTAGTAATCGTCTGGAAACCATGAAGGAGACCTACCGACTGACTGACAGACAAGTTGACTCCTACTTTGTGGGGGTATAATAAATTCTTTCGTAACCATACAGAATATGAAGAAATTCATATTATTAAAAAAATCTACTTACGTGCATCCTCAACAATTAATGTAATTGTGTGATATCCCAATGCTGTATATGAACATTTATATACACCAGCATCACTTTTCTGTACTTTTGATAGAACCAGATCTCTCTTGTTAGTGGCAAATTTCAATCTACTGGCAGCTGGGGCAGCAGGATTTATTGCCTCTGATACATCACCTAGACTTGTGTAAATTAACAGGTTTGGTGGTCCTACCCATTCTGGTAACGAAAAAGTTCCAGTCAAAGAACACGACAGTGTTAAATCATTTTCTGCCGTTTCTGTTACATTTTCTGTTGTCTGTGCCTCAGAATGTTGAAACTGACATGCACTTACTGCAAAATATAACAAGAACATGTTTGTTAAACACAAATGCTCAAATTCTTGTCAGTAACAATATTTAAAACAAGAACCTATTGAACTGAATGATGCATTTGTAAGACATGGGAATAAAATAAGTATTACATCCTTCAAAAAGCAATCCTCCTATGAAGTTTGAATATTGTGGGCACAATGGAACTAAAATTATGCTCTGGAAACTGTTTTCAGTTTTGATGTAATAGCACCCTTAAACATTGACCTTGTGACCCCAAAAACAATAAGGGTGTTCTACCTAATATGGACAATCATCTTATGAAGTTTGAACACTGTGGGCCAAATGGAACTTCAGTTATGTTTAGAAACTTATTTCAGTTTAAAGTAATAGTGACCTTGACCTTTGACCTTGTGACCCAAAAAACAATAGGGATCTTCTACCTAATATGGACAATCATCCTATGTAGTTTGCATATTGTGGGCCTAATAGACCTTAAGTTATGCTCCGGAAACTGTTTTCAGTTTTAAAGTAATAGTGACCTTGACCGTGTGACCCAAAAATCAATAGGGGTCTTCTACCAAATATGGACAATCATCCTATGAAGTTTGAACACTGTGGGCCAAATAGAACTTAAGTTATGCTCTGGAAACTGTTTTCAGTTTTAAGTTAAATGTGACCTTGACCTTTGACCTTGTGACCCCAAAACCAATAGGGGTCTTCTACCCAATATGGACAATCATACTATGAAGTTTGAACACTGTGGGCCAAATGGAACTAAAGTTAAGCTCCGGAAACTGTTTTCAGTTTTAAGGTAATAGTGACCTTGACCTTTGACTTGTGACCCCAAAATCAATAGGGGTCTTCTACACAGTATGGACAATCATCCTATGAAGTTTAAATATTGTTGGCCAAATGGAACTTAAGTTATGCTCCAAAACCAAATTGCTAATGGATGGACGGACGGACATGTATTAACTTACAAAATGGTACTAATGTGACTTTTCCTTTGTTCTTTTTAGCCATTTTTAATCACACAAGGCTTAAAAAAAGACACACAAGTAAAATCGGAATGAATAGGATCAAAGAGAATTTACCCATTGTTCTCCAAGTCACACAAGTACCTCTGGGTTCATACGGACAGACAGATAGACAGACAGATGGACGGACACCAGGGGGTATAACATAATAAGGTATAAAATTCTTTCTGGCATATAAAAATGAACAAAGGGAAGTAACTCCAAAATTAGGCAAGGCAGAGTTATGTTTTTGTGCACTGCACATTTACACAATGGGATATATCTACCTACAAAGTCTCATGTTGATATCTCTTATAGTTTTAGAGTTATGTCCGGAAGAAAGTTCAAAGTATAAAAATGAACAAAGGGGAATAACATCAAAATTAGGCAAAGTAGAGTTATGGTTCTTGTGCACTGCACACCTACTCGATGAGATCTATCTACCCACACCTACTCAATGAGATCTACCTACCTACAAAGTTTAATGTTGATATCTATTATAGTTTTAGAGTTATGTCCCTGACAAAGTTCAAAGTATAAAAATGAACAAAGGGGAATAAATTCAAAATTAGACAAGGTAAAGTTTTGGTTCTTGTGCACTGCACACATACTCTATGAGATCTATCTACATACAAAGTTTCATGTTGATATCTCTTGTTGTGTCAGAGTTATGTCCTGGACAAGAATAACCGGATATCACACTGATAATTTCGATCTAGTTAAAAAACATTTCTTTATCATTAAATAATTTTTTTTGACATGAAGAAGTATAATTCATCTTAAAAAAAATAAAACAAAATTATAAATAGACGCTTGATTTTTTTTTTTTTTTTTTTTTCCATTCCCTGCAATTACTTTTTTCCTCCGGCCCATATCAACAAAACATATACATTACAAGCATAACATGGTGTAGTGCCAGTGTACTAAATAAATAGATCAAATACAATTCATAACTACTAGTATAAATGTATATAAAGTGACAGAAATAAACTTTTTTAACATATATGTATAGTATTTACCCACCAGAATGTGTAGATACATAAATAATTACATATTTAAACAATATCATTTAGCAACATTTTACATTCTTGAAAAGCACAATATGCAAACACAGCCAATCTCATTATAATATTTACATTTTTCGATGACATCAAATATGGAACTTATTAATATTAGGGGACAGATAGAATTTAGATGGGATATATTTCTCTCTAAAAGAGGTTAATCTGGGACATTTTAAAACAAAATGAAATGCAGTTTCAATTTCAGTATTACAAAGTTTGCATATTCTTTGATTTCTTTCAGTGTTAGAATACCTCCCTCTTTCTATTTCTAAGTCATTTGAAGAGGTCCTTAATTTACCCAATGCATTTCTAAATTTTTTAATTGTTACACAATCTAGATATACAATGTATTTCATGTTCAAAAGTTAACTTATAATTTGCATACAATGACAGTTTAGAACTATTTCCCACATCAGAATGCCAAGTTCGAAGATACTGATCCTTAAGTCTAAGAGTAAATTGATGAAGGAATAACTTTTCATTAGGTACACTCTGATCAAACCAAATTTGCCCAAATCCATTTCTCATAAGTAAATTTTTAACATATGTAACCCAGTTTTTTTGTCCATAGTTATCAAAACATTTCATCATATTGTACGCTTTTTTTACATATCTTTGTTCATCCATTTTCAAGATTCTACACCAATATTTAATAATAACTCTTTTAGCAGTTGTAATAAACATTGGATATCTGCCACAATCCCCCAAAATAGCTATATTAATTGTTTTTTTGACTAAGGCACATATATCTTTTACATGCATACTTTTGAATGGAATCAGTGATTTTTTGCTCACTTAGAGCACCCCAAATATCGCTCCCATATAACAAAATTGGACTGATTTTTGTATCAAATATTTCTGAAAATACATGTTGTGGAAATTGTCCATACTCATACAATTTATTTAGAATAGATATAAGAACTCGTTTAGCTGTGATACTTTGGTCCTGTGCCATATAAGGAAAAGACAGTTTGCTTGTGAAAGTGTTGCCTACATATGAAAACTTTGATACAGTTTCTAATCTGTTATCATAAAAAAAAACACTTTTCATGCATACTTATTCCCCCCCCTTTTTTAAAAACCATAACCTTTAATAAATAAAGGCTGTATGGGCAAAAGTGTAAAAATCTATTTTTAGCACAAGTGACCTTGACCCACTGATCCCTACCCCAATTAAAAGGATGAATACCATGCAAGTTATCTTCCTACCAAATATGAAATATATCTGTCAATAAATAAAGGCTGTATGAGCAAAAGTGGAAAAATCTATTTTTAGCACTGGTGACCTTGACCCAACTGACCACTAACGCCATCAAATTTCATGTTCCTAACAATTATAAATGACATATGTCTATAGAATATGGTTAATACACCTGTAAATAGAAATGTGTCCATAGGACACGGGTGCCCCCACCTCGCCACTGTTCTGTCAATCTTATGACTCTAGGTCAAATATTTTTTGAAAACTAAAAATCTTTTACTAAGTAAAGGGCAAGAACTTTACAAATACTGAATAAATCCACAAGCAAACCCCCAAGGTGCATAAGTACACATGCTGACCAACTTTCTTGTAAAGTTTCAGGCCTACCAGTGAAATACTTTTTGAGCTATGCATGAACAAAATGAAAATTGCAAATTTATACTACTGTAACTGTAAGTCAAGGGCAATAACTGTAACAAAACTGAAAAAATCCACATGCAAAGTCCAAGTGATGTGAATCATTATTCCTGTAATTTACTGATACTGATCATTATTCCTGTAAAGTTCATTAATTCTAACTCAAGCACTCAAGGAACAAATAACAACTTAATGAAACGGTTTTAACTAAGTCAAGGGAAATAACTCTACAAATACTGGATAAATCCACAAGCAAAACCCCAGGTGCAAAACTAAATATGCTGAGCAACCGTCCAGTAAGGTTTAATGACTCTAGGTCAAATCCTTTTTGAATTACATGCGACACAAGTTGAAAAGTGCAAAAATTTTATAAGTCAAGGGCAATAACTCTAAAAATACTAAATAAATCCAGACGAAAATACCCGGTGCACAACTACACATGCTGATCAATATTCCTGTACAGTTACATGCGACACAAGTTGAAAATTGCAAAATTTTACTAAGTCAAGGGCAATAACTCTAAAATACTCAATAAATCCACACGAAAATACCCAGGTGCACAACTACACATGCTGAGCAACATTCCTGTAAAGTTTTATGACTCTAGGTCAAATCCTTTTTGAGTTACATGCAACACAGGTTGAAAATTACAAAATTTTACTAAGTCAAGGGCAATAACTCTAAAAATACTAAAAATATCCAGATGAAAATACCCAGGTGCACAACTACACATGCTGATCAACATTCCTGTAAAGTTTCATGACTTTAGGTCAAATACTTTTTAGGGTTACGTGTGACACAAGTTGAAAATTGCAAAATTTTACTAAGTCAAGGGCAATAACTCTGAAAATACTAAAAATATCCAGACGAAAATACCCAGGTGCATAACTACACATGCTGATCAACATTCCTGTAAAGTTTCATGACTCTAGGTCAAATACTTTTTGAGTTACTTGCGACACAAAAGAGAATGGACGGATGGACAAACGGAAGGACGGACGGACAAGGGTAAACCTAAATGCCTGCCACTAAAGTGGGGGCACAAAAATGTAAAAATCTATTTTTAACATTGGTGACATTGACCTTGACTCAAATGACCCCTTACTATACCCAAAGAAGGAGGACCTCCCTTGGCATGTTTGTATTAAACATGAAAGACATCAACCAAACAAGATTGCATTTGAGAAAAATGCTATGCCACCGCATTAATACAACACTAAATGGTAGTGTAGGAACATATTTTTTTGTTTCTATACAATTTTGAAGATTGACATAATGCATAGATCCCTGACCTATCTAATTCTTATTATCAGATTAGCGGTTAAATCTGTTGTTAACTCAATAAAAGATCAGAGTAGGAATATATCAATGCACTCTAGTCTTGCGAATTTGGTGGTGAAGGTCATATTTCACACAGCCTTAATTTCATGACTACATCAAAGGACAACACAGTAAAACACTTTGTCAAAATCTAGGTCAGCTGAAATACATCTTAATCTGTGCACATGGTTCAAATTTCATAGCTGTACATCAAAGGACAAGAAAGTGGGTCACATCATCAAAATCTAGGTCACCTGATATCAAAGTTCAATTTTACAACTAAAACTGTGCACATGGTCAAAATTTCATTGCTGTACATCAAAGGACAAGACAGTAGGTCACTGTCCCCTTGGGCAAGGCAAAATTTTGGACCCAAGGGTTTAATTTAAAACAATCTTGAAACAGGTCCACCAAACAACATTTCAAGTCAAATATCTAAGCTGTAGCTTTCTCCCATTCAGAAAACATTTGTTTTATTTTCTGTTTTTACTATGTGTACATAATGAGAATCACTGACCTCGGGCAGGGCCAATTTTGACACCAGTGGAAAAATTTGAACAACATTGGTAGAGGACCTATAGATGATATTATATAGCAAACATCAAAGCTCTATGCCTTGTACCTTCAGATAAAAATATTTTTTATTTTTTACTATATGTACATAATGAAAATCAATGACCCCCGGGGCAGAACCAATTTTGACCCCAGGGCTTTAATTTGAACAATCTTGGTAAAGTTTCACTTAGCAAAGTCTCATGCCATATATTTAATTCAGAGAAGAAGATTTTTCAAGTTTTTACTTTATACATATAAGGAAAACTATCGCCTCTGGGGCAGGGCAATTTTAACACTAGGGACATAATTAAAACAACTTTAGTAGAGGACCCATAGATGATATTATATACCAAATATCAAAGCTTTAAGCCTTGTACCTTCAGGCAAAAAGATTTTTTAAAAATTTTTTACTATATGTACATAGTAAAAATCAATGACCCCTGGGGGTGGGGCCAATTTTGACCCCAGGGCTATAATTTGAACAGTCTTGCTAGAAGTTCACTTCACAATGTTTCATGCAAAATATCTAACCTCTAGCATTTGTCAATTGCTAGCAGAATTTTTTTTCAAGTTTTTACTTTAAATTTTTACTATATACATATAAAGAAAAGCAATGACCCCCGGGGCGGGGCCGATTTTGACCCCAGGGCTATAATTTGAACAATCTGGGTAGAGGTCTACCAGACAATGCCTTATGCAAAATATCTAAGCTCTAGGTCTTTTGGGTCTTTACAATAAGGTATTTTAAGTTTTTACTGTATGTACATATAGTGAAAATCAATAACCCCGGGGTGGGGCCGATTTTGACCCTAGGGCTATAATTTGAACAATCTTGGTAAGGGTCTACCAGATAATGCCTTATGCAAAATATCTAAGCTCTAGGCCTTTTGGGTCTTACAAGAAGGTATTTTAAGTTTTTACTATATGTACATATAGTGAAAATCAATGACCCCCGGGGCGGAGCCGATTTTGACCCCAGGGCTATAATTTGAACAATCTTGGTAGAGGTCTACCAGACAATGCCTTATGCAAAATATCTAAGCTCTAGGCCTTTTGGGTCTTTACAAGAAGAGTTTTTAAATTTATTCTTATAATTCCTTTTGGTTGCCATGGCAACCAGATTTCTGCATGGAATGAAATTCTTTGAACAACTTTGGAAGCCCTTCACCAAAGGATCAATCCTGCCAAGTTTGGTTGAAATTGGACCAGTGGTTTTTCTCAAGAAGATTTTTTAAGTTCACTATATAATCTATATAACACACACACACACAAACAAACACACACACACACACACACACACACACACAGGTGAATCGCTATATGCCACCGCATCGCAGATGCTGCGGTGGCATAAAAATAAAGGCTGTATGAGCAAAAATGTTTAAATTTATTTTCAAAACCAGTGACCTTGACCCTAGAGACCACTTTCTCCACAAAAAATAAGAGGACCATTAAAGGTATCAACCTACCAAATATGCAAGATATCATTAAATAAATTAAGCAATTAAGAGAAATTTACGATAAATCCAACTTGCCGGAAAAGGTTAACCAGACATGGCACTATTTTCAAAGTGAAAAAAGGGAAATATCTGGGAAATATGGATGACACAGTTATATAACTTGGCAATATCATGTACTTTTTTAAGTAAGTGTGGAAGTTATGAAGCCATTAGTATAGATAGAACTTAAGATATTTCCAACTTGCCGTTTTAGGTTAACCATTATTCATTTTCTAAGTGCTGAAAAGGGCAATAACTTGGTAAATATGGAAGCCATAGTTATGTTACTTGACCAGATCATGTACTTTGTATTGATTAGTAAGTGTGTAAACTAAGAAGCCATTGGTACAGGTAGAACTTAAGAAAAATCCAACTTGCCGTTCTAGGTTAACCTCGTACGGACAGATGACGGACGGTTCAATTCATATATGCCCGGGGGCATAAAAAGAAGGACAATTATTAAACACAATTCACTTTGGAAAACCATATTATTAATTTTAGTATGTTTGGTTAAATATAAAACATGCTGCGATTATCATGGCTTAACTTTCACAGGCGGTTCATACATTTTTCCAGAGATCAAGTTTGTTTAACATCAAAACATTTTAAAAGTTTGCATAAACCTTCAGCTGAAGACACATGTAGACACAAAATTGATTTCGGAGAAAATAGTATTATAGTATACTATACATAATTCAAATATGTTTGATTAAATTAAATATTATTTCGTACGCATGACCGTTGTTACTTCGGCGCATTATAATCCAACAGTGCACTATTCTTATTTCTAATACAAATCATACATTTCGGTAGTATAAAGTAGCTCCATCTGATTGCACTTTTATTGATAACCATTATTTAATTCAAATGCTTAGATTTGTTAAGATAATGTTGTTCTAATTAAGGAAAAAATAACACATCAATGATTGTCTATTTACTTGATGACATTTCTTATGGTTTCAGAGTCATGTTCCATACAAAGTTAAAAGTGAAAAACTGAACAAAGGGCAATAACTCCAAAATTAGGCAAGACAGAATTATGGTTCTTTTGTACGGCACCTGTAACCAATGAGATCTGTCTACTTATAAAGATTCATGTTGATATGTCTTATAGTTTCTGAGTTATGTACCGGAGCCGGACAAAGTTCAGTGTAAAAATGAACAAAGGTCAATACCTGAAGAAATTAAAAAGTTATAGAAAAAAAAATTTACTGCACAAAAACTTTGAGCTGAAATCTGGATGCCAATGTTAGAACAGTATAGTCAAGCAAAAAATTAGAATTATACTCACTTAGTACTAAGAATGATATCCACATTGCCACTGTCATATTGTAAATCACACCTACAAATAGTAAAAATGCACTATACAAGAAGGCCATAACTTGATAAGGGCCCTAAGTTGCTCACCAGAAACAACTGCTTTTCAGTGTTGGAAATTTTTTTTCCAATGACCTTGCTGAAAGGCAAGTCAAGTTCAGCTCAACTTTAACTTGCCCCTTTTGTAAAAACATTCACAATACTGATTGTTTGGTTTTTTCTCTTCAAAATAAACAATAGGGCCATCTTTTGTCACTAAGATGGCCCAAGTTCACTCATCTAACCCATCACTTCATTATTCGCTATATAAATTAAAATATTTTGCCCTCATATTTTGGAAAGGCTTTGTTAAAAATATCTACTTTAACTTGCCCTTTTTGTAAAAACTTTTACAATACTGATTGTTTGTTTTTTTTTTCTCTTCAAAATAAACAATATGGCCATTTTTTGCCACTAAGATGGCCCAAGTTCACTCATTTAACCCATCACTTCATTATCCGCTATATAAATTAAAATATTTTGCCCTCATATTTTGGAAAGGCTTTATTGAAAATATCTACTTTAAAAGTGTGTACCCATGAGAATATGTACAATAAATGCAGAATAAATGACACTAGCCACTAGAGTTTTAACAAGATTTTTCTATTTTTTCCTCCTGTGACCTAGTTTTTCATCCAAGATGACCCATGCTAGAAGTCATCCAAGCAATTACCTAGACAAGCATTCTGACCAAGTTTGATGACAATTGAGTCAAAAATGTGACCACCAGAGAGAGTGTTATCAAGTTTTTTTCTAAATTTTTGCGTTGTAACCTAGTTTTTGACACCAGGTGACCCATATTCGAACTTGACCTAAAATTCATCAAAACAAACTTTCAGACCAATTTCCAGGACATTTGAATCAAAACAGTAGCCACTAGAGTGTTAACAAGATTTTTAATTTTAAGCTCCTTCGACCTATCTTTTTATTTGAGATGACCCATGTTTGAACTCATTCAAGCAATTACCTAGATAAACATCCTGACAAAGTTTGATGATGATTGAGGCAAAAATGTGACCGATAGAGTGTTAACAAACAAATGTGGACGGATGACAAATATTCAACTATCCTAAAAGCTCACCCTGAGCTAAAAACTGATGGCATGAAAGTAAATTTTTTTTCAAAAGCCATCAAAACTAGATGTTACTGGAAATAGAGGATATTTGTTTGTTTTGCATGTAAGATTGAAATATAATTTCACTGAGTGAACACCAGATGAAATATTTTCACGAGTGGCGTAGCCACGAGTGAAAATATAATAGCTGGTGTTAACGAATGAAATATATTTCAATCTTATATGTAAAACAAATAAATTTTCTTTTTATTTCATGCTTTTTAAGTGATTTGAAGTATTTTTTATTGATTTTGCCGCGTAACGTCGCGCATTCTCCTTTGTGACGTCATCACATTATGACGTCACATGATCGATTTTGAAAGATAGTTCTGTTAAAGTTCTCTAACTTTGTTACATTTTTAACATGATTTATAGTGACATCGACTTTCTTTTCCCAAAGAAGCAAAATTTACGTATGACGGCATTTTTTTCTGCCTGTTATTCCATTTAGTCATGATATTCTTTTAATTCGCATTCAGATATAGTCCGGCTACAGTGAAAATTATATTTTATAAATTTCAATAGTGGTTTATCAGAATATAATCATCTGATATATTACAATAAAACACTGGAAAGCATGAAATAATAGAGTATAATCATTATCTGTAAACAGATGATGAGTGGGCTCTATTTCAGTGAACCCTGGGCTTACTTGGAACCTACTTAATTTCTAACCTTAAGTCCCTGGAACAGGTTAAGGCAAAATTGTTTAAAATTCAACATATATTCAGTGAGCTTTATCTTATTCCATTTCTGTCCCGTGTAAAATACATTATGTTCATAGTAATAAACACTTTGTAGCATCACAGCAATTTTTCAAAAGGCATCAAAAACTGTATTAGCTGTATCTGAAAAACAATGTCCTAATATGTGATCTTAATAAAAAAAGAATATGAAATCAGAGTGTTGCACTCCCTTGTTAATCTTTACTTTCATTTTACTATTTTGATCTGAGGAATCTCTTATTTAGGTTTGAACCCTGTAATGTTTATAGTGATTCGATTAGATAGTGTGCTTGTAAGTGATCAATCGCATATGTTTTTACCATTGTAAAAACAAGAAAACAAGAGGGCCAAGATGGCCTTAAATCACCCTGAGTCAAAAATGTGACCAATAGAGTGTTAACAAGGTTTTTCCATATTTGGGCAGTGTGACCAAGTTTTTGATCCCAGGTGACCCAAACACAAACTTAGAAATCAGCAAAACAGTAGCCACTAGAGACTCAAGTGTTAACAAGTACAAATGTTGCTGCAATGCAGCAATTGAGAAGCACCGCGCAAAAAATGTGCTCATTACAGATACCTTATGAAATCATTTCTGCGCACAAGTCATTTTCTATTTAGATTAAGGACTAGTCATTAGTAAATATTTTGTATAATTATACTTATCGTATGCACTGTCCATGACAGAGGAGCCAGATATTAAATTAAAACACAAGAACATGTTTGTTAAACACAAATGCCCCCGGCTCCGATTCTTGTCAGTAGCAATATTTAAAAAAATGTTTACCCATTCACTCAGTTATGGACAGAAACATTGCCAAAAAATTGTAAACACAAGTTATATAGCTTGACAGAGTCATGGCATTTTGTAATTGTGAAATATATAAGTTGCTATGACTTGTGAAGTGACAAATATTCAACTTTATCAAATATATATAAATGTAAGAAATCTATACTTGGCACCCTTGACCTTGACCTACTGACACCTATAGAATATCATGCAAGTTATCTTTCTACCAAATATGAAATACACCTGTCAATAAATAAAGGCTGTATGGGCAAAAATGTTAAAATCTATTTTGAGCATTGATGACCTTGATCAAACTGACCCCTAACTCCATCCAAAGGAAGAATACCATGCAAGTTATAATCTTCCAACCAAATATGAAATAAATCTGTCAATAAATAAAGGCTGTATGGGCAAAAGTGTAAAAATCTATTTTTAGCACTTGTGACCTTGACCCAACTGACCCCTAACTCCAACCAAAGTAAGAATAACAGGCAAGTTATCTTCGTACCAAATATGAAATATATCTGTCAATAAATAAAGGCTGTATGGGCAAAAGTGTAAAAATCTATTTTTAGCACTAGTGACCTTGACACACTGATCCCTAACTCAATCAAAAGGAAGAATACCATGCAAGTTATCTTCCTATCAAATATGAAATACACCTGTCAATAAATAAAGCCTGTATGGGCAAAAGTGTAAAAATCTATTTTTAGCACAAGTGACCATGACCCACTGATCCCTATCCCAATCAAAAGGATGAATACCATGCAAGTTATCTTCCTACCAAATATGAAATATATCTGTCAATAAATAAAGGCTGTATGAGCAAACATGTAAAAATCTATTTTTATCACTGGTGACCTTGACCCAACTTGCCACTAACTCCATCAAATTTTATGTTCCTATCAATTATAAATGACATCTGTCTATTGAATATGGTTAATACACCTGTAAAAATCTATTTTTAACATTGGTGACCTTGACATTGGTGACATTGACCTTGACCCAAATGACCCCTTACTATACCCAAAGAAGGAGGACCTCCCTTGGCATGTTTGTATTAAACATGAAAGACATCAACAAAAAAAATAAAGGCTGTATGAGCAAAAATGTTTAAATTTATTTTCTAAACCAATGACCTTGACCTTGACCCTAGAGACCACTTACTCCACAAACTAGAAATGTGTCCATAGGACATGGATGCCCCCACACGCCACTGTTCTGTCAATCTTATGACTCTAGGTCAAATATTTTTTGGACAACATGTGCCACAAGTTGAAATCTAAAAATCAACAAAGGGCCATAATTCTGTTAAATTTGGTCGCAGCAAAAATTCCTTCCTTTACTACCATCTACACATTAAAGTTGTTAATCCCTGGAAGTTTAAGCAAAATCTGCCACCTGTTTAAGAGGAGTTGCGTTCACAAATTTTCTACATAGTATTGTGAAAAAATCAACAAAGGGCCATAATTCTGTTAAATTTGGTCGCAGCAAAAATTCCTTCCTTTACTACCATCAACACATTCAGATTGTTCATCCCTGAAAGTTTAAGCAAAATCTGCCATCCGGTTTAAGAAGAGTTGCATTCACAAAATTTCTACATAGAATATAGTGAAACTAGAAATGTGTCCATAGGACACGGATGCCCCCACACGCCACTGTTCTGTCAATCTTATGACTCTAGGTCAAATATTTTTTGGACTACATGTGCCACAAGTTGAAAACTAAAAATCAACAAAGGGCCATAATTCTGTTAAATTTGGTCGCAGCAAAAATTCCTTACTTACTACCATCTACACATTAAGGTTGTTAATCCCTGGAAGTTTAAGCAAAATCTGCCATCCGGTTTAAGAGGAGTTGCATTCACAAAATTTAAACATAGTATATAATGAAACAATCAAAAAAGGGCCATAATTCTGTTAAATTTGGTTGCAGCAAAAATTCCTTTCTTTATTACCATCTACACATTAAGGTTGTTCAGTCCTGGAAGTTTAAGCAAAATCTGCTATCCGGTTTAAGAGGAGTTGCATTCACAAAATTTCTACATAGTATATAGTGAAAAAATCAACAAAGGGCCATAAATCTGTAAAATTTGGTCGCAGCGAAAATTCCTTCCTTTACTACCATCTACACCTGAAGGTTGTTCATCCCTGTAAGTTTAAGCAAAATCTGCCATCCGGTTTAAGAGGAGTTGCGTTCACAAAATTTCTACATAGTATACATGTATAGTGAAAAAATGAACAAAGGGCCATAATTCTGTTAAATTTGGTCGCAGCAAAAAATCCTTCCTTTACTACCATCTACACATAAAGGTTGTTCATCCCTGTAAGTTTAAGCAAATTCTGCCATCCAGTTTAA